TCAACCAACAATTCGATTGCCATGATTACTTATCAGAGGTAGCTGTTAATATTATGGTAGAAACAGCATTGGGTGTTAGCAGAGAGAAGATTAAACACATCGGATATGACTATACAATGGCCGTTAAGAAGTAAGCATTTCTGACGTTGTTATTTTGAAATAGCTTATTTAACACTTCATTACCTTATATTTAAATGTCACAGACTGGGCGAGATCGTGCACAAAAGGCATTTCAATCTGTTGTTGCGTTCGGATAAATTGTTCAAAGTCTCGAAATATGCCAAAATGCAACAGAAAGCGATTGAAACCGTTCAATCGCTGTTGAAATTAGTGATCCAAGAGAAAAAGAAGGACGTCGAACAAAAGGAGAAGAATAATATGCATAACATCGTGGCGGAGCATTTAAACAAGAACACGGAAGACGACATGAGCACAACAAATTACAAGATGCACTACGCAAAGGATGATCTTGACGATATCCATGAGAACGATGTTGGAGAGAAAAAACGACTACCCTTGTTGGAGATGCTGATAGATAGGAAGAAGAAGGGAGAAATGACGGATAAGGAAATTTTGGATGATGTCAACTCTGCTTTGTTCGCGGTGCGATATCAATTTCGCTGCAGTAATGCATTTTTAGACTTACGAAGTTCTCCTAGTAAACCACTGAAATTAAATTCCATGTTTCGCAAAGGCATCACCACGCGGATGCTTACACTTTTACATACCTTAACAAAAAATAGAATATAATGAACGAAAATGTTACAGGGTTACGATACCGTATCAACTACCGTGAGTTTTGTGCTCTGCACATTGGGATGTCTTTCAGAAATTCAGGTAATGTGACTCGCGACAAACTATTCTTACATTGAGGACCCCATTTATTTCACTTAAATTAAACTTTTATTTGGATATGGGCTGAAAGGAAAATAAGAAATGTTTAATTTTGAGACGCTCCATTTCTTAAATGAAATTTTACTTTATAACATAATCATAATATTCACTCCTTATCACTAAGTAGAAGAAATCATGCCATAAAAATGAAAAGTAATAAAATTCGGATTACTTGGCTGTCATTACATTTCTCGATATTTTTTAGAGATTTCATTGCAAAAAAAGAGAGTATTTGAACTTGTAATGAAACGATGTCATTCATTTCTATTGTGCAGGAACGTGTACACGAAGAAATGGACTCAATATTCTTTGACAGCGACAGGCAGTGTACTTTCGTGGACACTGTCAACATGAAATATCTGGAGAGAGTTATATTGGAAACATTGAGGCTTTTTCCCACAATACCATTAATTTCAAGGAAAATTAAAAAGGACGTAAGGATAGGTAATCCCATCCTAATGAATTTTATAGTGTCACTAATTAACACGCCTATATGTCATATTTTAAGTACACGCATTGTAAATTAGAATAAAGCAAGAGAAGAATCACCTGTATGTTAAAGTTACAGGCAATTACGTTCTTCCAAAAGATGCCACCATTGTGATGATTCCATTCCTGGTACATCGTGCAGAAAAATATTACCCGAATCCACTAGTTTTTAATCCAGATAATTTTCTACCGGATAAAATGCAACAGAGGAATCCTTACGCTTACATTCCCTTCAGCGCAGGCCCGAGGTAAAAAAGAATGTGTATGCTCCGAAACGTCTTAGAATTTATTATTGGCATCACATAAATAGTACTGAATATACTATCTCAACTGTTAATGTTTGACTCTTTTTTTTTTAGGTCGTGCGTGGGACGAAAGTACGCAATAGTGAAAATAAAGATTTTGCTGTCCACGATATTAAGAAAATTTCGCATTACTTCTGATGTGGCATATCAAGAATTTCCTTTGCTAGCA